TTTATTAGAATACAACTTTAACAATTATTTCTGAGGGATTTCTGAAGGAAAATAGTTTTCAATTTTCATTAGGGTTCATTTAAACAGTTGTGGGCTTTTTAAATTTTTGCTTTGGTTTTTAGAAGGATGTAGGTATTCTTGATGATCTCTTTTCTAATTAGGGCAGAATACTAGAAACCATTGTACTTTCAAGAGTACAACAGCACTAACCCTTTTTTTAAAAAAATAAGAACATGGTAGAAAAAAAGAATAATGATTGAAACATTATTGAAATTATTATTTCATTATTGAAAAATTATTGAAACACATTATTCCTTTTGCCTTTTAGAAGTAATTCCTGATACAAAGCATTGCTCATGGCAAAAATAGAGGACTATTTTGTTCATCTCAAAATCTAGCTGACAAAAAACTAGATTAGCTCTCAAGAACTGGAGAAAAAGATTATTTTTAGGTGGAAAATGGAAAAGACTAAGATATAATATTAAGAAGGGATGACTAGGAGATCTTTTGGATAATGGAAACACAGAGATATTTAGTCAAGCCCATAATTTAAGGGAACTAGAAAAGAAACATTGGGGGCAAATAGGCAGCTGTACAGAAAGGAGGCAGCAATTCAAACATGAAAGACCTAAAGATTTACTCATTCTCCCAAAGAAGAAAAAGGAAGACTCCAAGGAGGTGACTAAAAGTCAGAAGTTATATCATATCTGCTTGATACACAAGGAATGTGTGGTTGCTTAAAATCTAACACTATCATAAATCAAAGAACTTTGCTCACCAAGTAAGTCCTCAGTATAGAAGGAAAGCAGAGAGCTTCCTCCAAGCATTACTACATCCCATACATCAAGCAAGTTTAATTGTTCATTTTCAAAGAAGAGTTTAGCTCCAGATGGGATCTTGGAGAGCTAATTCAAAAAAAAATTTTTTACAGAAGAGGAAACTGAGGCCCAGAGCATTTATAACTGGCCCAAACAAAGGTAAATAGTGAAAGAACAGTTATCACTAACAATTTTGATAGCCAAAGTAAGATCCACTTGAGATAAATTCTATTGAGGGTGAAGTGGGAAAGAGACAGGACCCAGGCACAGGACTTCAAAGGAAGCAAGAAATCCTAGGATACCAGTCATGGTCGGTATAGATCCAGGTAGACTGAAAATATAAAGGGAAGAAACCCACTACCTGTTAACTTCCTATTATACTAATTATTCTTGCTACCTAGGTGTTCAGCTTAATTGTTTTGCTACTAAAGGATGGTAAATGCTATTAATTCCCTTCAAGTATCAGTGTCCTGGGAAAGAGCCTCTGTGACCTAACCCTAGTCAGGACTACCTTGACTAGTTAGAGCTACCCAAGTCTCCTCATTCACAATCCAGGGGAGTTTTCATTATGCCACATTGCCTCCTTGCACATGTAGTTAATATTTAACATTAACACCATCTAAAATTTATAATATTAATAACAACCAATATTGATAACAGTGATTTAAGGTTTGTAAAGCTATATAACATATTTATCATTTGATAAACACAATACTGTTAAACAGGTGCTATTATCATTCCAATTTGAATATGCTAAGTATTTGGGGAAACTGTACACTTGACATTCAAATAAATTTGATACAGATTCAGCACGTTTATCCTATCCCTTCCTGCTTGGGTTAAATAATAATAATAATAATAATAATAATAATAATAATAATAAAATCTTCAGGAAGAAACTTACAAGTGGGTAAATACACTTATGAAAACCTAATAGCATTCAACATGGACATAATACAGTACTGACTGGCTCCATTTGGAGATGTTATATGAAAAATTGAGTGAGTTATAATTTCTACAAAGCTGACAGATTTGTTAGTTGGCTTCATTTAGTTTTCAAAACTAAAAGAGTGACTGGTGCATTGGAAGCATCTGCGATGTGTATGTGCCTGAAAATGGTAAGCATAGATGACCTTTATCAATCATAGGATTCAGACCTAAGAGGGACCTTGTATATCATCCAATAAGACACCTTTATTTCATTGGTGAGGTTAAAGACCAGAAGAGGGTAACATTTTTCCTAAAAGTGTAAAGTTTAACACAGAAAATTCAAACGAAGCAATGTCAATCTGATATTGACTAAGATGCTATCCTATTAAAAATAATTCCTTGGTACAGATACTCTGATAGAATGTAAGCTCCCTGAGGGCATGGACTATTTCGTTTTTTTCCCCTAGTATCCCCAGAACTTAGCACAGTGCCTGGCACATGCTTAATAAATGCTGATTAATTGATTAATTAGGTTAATTCCCATAACTAATGCAGGTGGTTTTGTATAATCATAATTGCTTTTCCATCCAATGATCCCCAAAATTCAAAATTTTTATTTATACTTTCATATACAATGCCCCACTGGCACTTTTCAATATTGGCTCCATACCCCAACTCCATAGAACTCTTTCTTTTTTCCTGGATTCATTCCAGAGAACTCCCAAGTGAGGAAATGTCCTCTGTCACCACAGGCTGGCACCTGCTCAGTAGCTTATAGTCTGAGAGACCTTCCTTTCTTATAAAAAAGAAAAACCATTAAACAAAATAAATTGTAAATTATTTCTCCTGGCTTCACTCTCCATCTGTTCCATACTGGCTTCTTTCAAGTTCAGTACTGACGCTGCACCTCATGATCTGCGGTACATATCCTACGGTACAATCCTCCCCACCCTCAATATGCTATTTCAAAGAAGAAAAAAAGGGAAAAGTATAATACTTATAGCTCTTATTAATATAGCACTCTAGAATACGCAATGCACTTATAAATATTATCGCATTTGATTCTCACAACAACCTTTGAAGTAGCAGCTATTATTAGCCCCATTCTGATATGCAGCATATTTTTGGGAACTATATGCTTTATATTCTAAGCAAGCTGAATACAGGTTCTGTGCATTCATTCTCCTCTCCACCTGTTCTGGACCTAAATTAGTTCGGCACACACATCCCAGCCCTAAAGACTTATTACATCGTAGCCTATACCCAGCCTGGGTTCTCTGAACGGCTCTTCAAAGATTAATGGTAAATTAAGGAAAAGAGTATCAACCTCATTCTTTAATAGGCGCCTAGCATCTCCCACACCAACACCACCCCTCCTCTCCTCTTCGCCACTCCCCGAATAGATCTAGGGATGTATCTGAGCTGTGGAAACTTCAATGTCCACAGTGAAACACTTTGCATAGACCGATCCCACACAGAATGCTGTTTTCTAGTCGTCATTTAAAAAGTAACTTTAAGCTTGTTTTCTCAAACTGAAGACCATTAGTTGTTCCCATAATTTGAGGTCACGACTAGACAGCCGTGGTTAACTGTCTAACAAAATACCCGAGACCATTCTGAACCGAACATCCTTCCTCCTCCCCCACTGTAGTCGAATAAAGCACAATAGTTGGCACATAATAGGTGCTTACATGCTTGATGACAGACTGATCAAAGTAGTTTCAATACCGCAAACCTTACCCGCGGCTCTAACCATTTACTTATCTGGGCTTACACGGTCACCTCCCTGGGGAGATTTCAGATTGCCAACATGAAACCAAAAAGAAAACAGCTTTCTGGGAATGACATTATTAAAATACATCCTGTACATTTCTCACCTCTATCTCCTTCATCTTCTCCTAATAATTTAGCTTGCCAACAAACTTCCCCTAAGGGTCCAGACAGCATTCAGGATTACTCCACCAATTTCTTCATCCACCCAAAGCTACCCCCAAACCTCTTCAATACCACTCTGCTTATTAGAATTATAGAATCACAGACTTAGAGCTAGAAGGGACCTCCAAGACTCATATAACAATGAGTTGCTGGAGCTTAATGCTACTTGCTTCTTGTATGTTGTCTCTCCGTTAGAATGTAAGCTCCTTGAGGTAAGGGCTAGCACAATGGATAGAGCCCTTGTTCTGGAGACCTGAGGTCAAATATGGCTGCAGAAAGTTATTAGCTTTGTGACCCTGGGCAAGTCACCTAACTGCTGCCAGTTGCCTCAACTGTGAAATGGGGATAATGACACCTATTTAACAAGATTATCGTGAAGATTAAATTTGTAAAGCACTCAGCACAGTGCCAGGCACTTAATGATTGCTTTGTTTTGAGTTTTTTTTCCCTTTGAACCCTTAGTGCTTAGCACAGTGCATTGTATGTCAATCAACAAACATTTATTAAGAGTGTTCATGTACAGGCACCATACTAAATTCTGAGGATGCGAAGAAAAGCAAACTCACTGTTCCTGACTTCAGGTAGTTCGCATTCTATTAGGACAGAGAATATGCAAATAATAATATATATTCAAAATATATACAGTGTAAATGGGAGGTAATCCTGGCACATAGGAAGTGCCTAATAAATGCACTTCAATATTAAAATATAAAATAATAAAAATTAAAGCTAGCACTTTAAAGTTTGCAAATATTATTTCATTTTATCCTCACAATGACCCTGAAGTTCCAAAAGATAGGTGCTATTCTTACTGCCATTTTCTTTAGATGGGGAAACTAAGTCTGATAGAAGTTAAATGACTTGCCCAAGGTCACACAACTAGAGTCTGAGGCAGGATTTGAACTCAGGTCTTCCTGACTCCAAGTCCAGTGATCTATCCATTATGTCACCCAGCTGCCTGGTGACTAATGACAAAATGCCATGGAACCAGTAAACATCAACTATTCTCCTAGGTCTGTCTAATCTAATTTATGACAGATAATATCTTCCCAAAGAGCTTGGGGTGATCATTTTGTATATCTCTGAAAAGCAATTTTTTTTAATCCATGGGCCATCCCTCCCCACCTCCCACTGTCCACCCCTGTCCTGAAACCTCCACATCCCCCTAAAATGTATTCTTATCGACAACTGAAGTCAATTGATCCCTTGACTTTTAAAAGTTGGACAGGCAGAGAAATCCAACTCCTTCCTACCAGGCCCAGTCCCTCCCTCTGGCCCTGGGTGGCCAGGAGGGGTCATGTTCACTGTCCCAGCACGCAGTCTCCAGGCTCCCTTCTTCAGAGTGACAGGAAAGAGTCACACTGGAAATCGCTGCAGCTGGGGCTTGTCAGGTGGCTGTTGGCAGCTCAGGGTGGGATTTTCCTTGTTCCCTCTTTCCTTCTTTCTCTCTCTCTCTCTTCCACTTTCCCTCTATCTCTCTCAGGTTGCACACGAAGAAGAGTTCAGTGCAGAGGCTTCGTTTTGAAACCCTGGGCCAGTACTTGGTAAGAGCTGGGGCTGCCCTCTTAGGGGGTCTGCCTCTTGTGTTCTGGGTGTGTGCCTAGATGGGGTTAGGACATACGAAGAAGTTTCACGTTTTGTTTTTTGTTTTAATTCTATGGAGGGGAGACTACAGCTGGTGCAAATTAGTCATATCCGAGATCTTAAGCTACTGTTCAAGCCGGAGGATTGTTTCATGTAAAGTCTCAGGAATCCGAAAATTTTCAGGAAACATGAAAGGTGTTGAAATGCAAGCTGGTTGTTATTTGAAAGACCAAAACTAATTGTGATAGCATGGAGACGGGGAGGGAGGAGAGAAAGAACGGTATTTTAGGGCATTTTTTTTAATCCCACATTTATCATCTAGTTTGAAATTCCTGTGTTTGTTCATGGTGAATTTTTCTTCATGGTTTAATAGGAGAGAAAAATAGACCACCATTCTATTCACCCCCAAAGTATAGAATCCTTACCTCTATTTAGCAGAAAGCAGAGTTTATGTTTAATATATACAGCTAGATATAGATATCTCAGAATGCAACTAATAGAGTACCACAGGACTCACACTTTGGATGACTGTCAAAAGCACCCTTATCAAAATGGAGAACAACCCAACTCCTTGGTTCAACATTTATAAAACATATTGTCTTTGAATTATCATATCGTCTTGTGCCTATGTAGGTTCCTTAATTTAAAGTGTGAAGACACACTGCAAAGAGGTACACGAGACGTGTAAGAAGCAAATGCACCTTCAATGGAACCTAACTTAAAATGGCAAGCTGGGCCAGGCCCCTCCTGTCTGTTACTATTCCTGGAGCTAAGTCTGATAGGCTTCAACAGATGCAGCCATTGGAATGTGGAAGGGAGGGGGCAGAGGGAGCAGCTGATTCACCTCTCCAGCCATAAGACATTTTGGGCACCCAGCTAGCTCAAGCTTGGGAATGACACTGACACTTTAGCACACGTGGCTTTTTTATCTTGCCCTGAGAGGAGTCCTATCCCAAGGGGCCTCTCCTTCTTCTCTCTTTCCCCCCCCCAAAAAAAAGCCTAAAGGTAAACTAATAATCCCTTCCACTAATGACTAGAAATAAATACAGGCATGTGAGTTCATGCAGAATAATGTAATGGACAGGAAGTTGTCCAGGAAGACCTAAATTCAAATCCTGCTTTGGATCACTATTGGCTGAATGACTTCAGCAAGTCATGTAACCTTTTAGTGCTCTAGCATCTCCTTAAGACTATGAACTGGAAAGAAGGTATGGACTTGCATTGATCTCGGAAGGAGTTTCCTCACATGGGAGTTCCCTATCTCAATTAAATCACAGATCTACTCTCTCTCCCAGAAATAGACAAGAGATTTTTTTGTTGTTGTTGTTGTTTGGAGTCATTTCAGTCATATTTGACTCTCCACGACCCCATCTGGGGTTTTCTTGGCAACGATACTGGAGTGGTTTACCATTTCCTTCTCCAGCCCATTTTACAGATGAGGAAACTGAGGCAAACCAGGTTAAGTGACTTGCCCAGGATCATACAAGTAGGAAGTGTCTGAGGCCAGATTTAAACTCAGAAAGAAGAGTCTTCCTGACTCCAAGCCCAGCCCTCTCTCTATCTAGCTGCTCATAGAGTGCTACATAGATGCATAGAAACATAGACAGATGAACAGACATATTCCAAAAGCCTTTACTGCTATTAAAGCTTAGAACTGTTCCAATATTTTTGGGACACCTTATATATAGGGGTACCTATGTGAAACATCATAGTGTAGTGGATAGAGAGCTGATCTCAGAGTTAGACAGAATGGGGTTCAGGTCCCACCTCTCCAGCTTATTGGCTATATGATCCTGGGCAAATCACTTAACTTCTCAGTGCCCTGCGGGCAGCTCTCTAAGACTCTAATGTTCAGAAAAGTTGCAGATCTGCATAGGTCTTCATTTCCAAAACTGATGAAACCACAGATTGTTAGGATTCTAGATCTAGAGTTGGAAGAAATCTTAAAACACCATCTAGTCCAACCTGGCACATACTAAATACTAAATAAATGCTTGCTTATTGATTGGTAAGGAAACTGAGGCTCACAGAGAGTGTGACTTGGCAATTACTTTGCTAGGTTTCAGACCCTTCCAAAAGGCACCATGTGTTACTAGAGTTACGATAATACTAAGAGCTATTATCAGAAATGTGTTTAAAAAGGGAAACTGTAACACGCACAGTAGCTACACTCTGATAAAATCATCTTGGCTAAACTAGGTTGAGGGTAACCAACAGGCCTCAAACCCATCATCAGGTTAGAGGGATGTCTACCCCAACCAGGCAAAGACTTCCCCTGGTGGAATGGGTGAATGAGAACAATTTGTTCCAATGACCATTAATGACTGTGAGGTGCTTAAAGCTCCATCAGACAACAGATGCCAAGTCATTGACTGCATCCCAAGCCATTACCAGCAGTCTTGACTTTTGTCTTGCCACTGGACTCCTATGACTCTGGAAGAGTGAAGCTGGTAACTTGGTGCAGCTCTGCCTCACTTAAATCCAATTCAAGCACAAGTCGAGACATCATTCTGTGATGTCATTGGTCCTCTACAAAAATGAAGGACAAACAACAACAACAAAGAGGGGGCAACTTGGCTTAGGTGGGATATATGAATGTTGACCATTCATTTAAGCGTGAAAACTAGAAAAACTCATTTTTTTTTGCAGGGTGATCTTCTAGGACTACTAAGTCATACTTATGATAATTCCCTTCAGTTTCACATCCTAAGGATACTAAGAGCTCGTATTTATACATAGCACTTTAAAAGGTTAGCAAAGCACAAGAGCCTTCCCTTTACTGGGCCTCAGTTTCCTCACCTGTAAAATGATCAAGGTAGACTAGGTGGTCTCTCAGGTCCCTTCCAGCACCTAAATCCTTGGATCCTTTCCCATAATATGTCTATTATTATCACCATTTTATTTCTCTTCTCTAAAATATCTGGAGTTCATGAGTATGTAGATGTTTTCTCCACTGGTACAGATAGCAACCTCTCCATGACTTAACAGATGATCTTCATGACCTGTTGTGGCAAATAAAAAGATACATAGACAAATAAGCAAATAACCAGAGAAGTAAATGAATAAATAAACCAGTAGACAGATAGATAGATGAATGGATAGACAAGTAAATAAGCAAATACATTGAACAGACAAATAAATGAATAAAGTAGATAAATGAATAGGTAGATAGACAATTAAATAAGCAAATACATTAAGCAGAAGTAAATGAATAAACAGATAAATGGATGGATGAATAGATAGACAAGCATATATAAGACAAGTAAATGAGCAAAGAAATAAGTAGATAAATAGATGGAGGGAGAGAGAGAGAAAGAGAGAGAGAGAAAGAGAGAGAGAGAGAGAGAGAGAGAGAGAGAGAGAGAGAGAGAGAGAGAGAGAGAGAGAGAGAAAATCACTTTGAGACCAATCTTTTTGAGACCTGCTTCTTCCAACTTGGGCTGGTCCTCCGATAAGCATATAGTCAGTCATAGTAACATGTCAGTCCAAGCCTTTTGGGGGAGGGATGCAGAAGACACTGCATTTCCTCCTTATCTTGCCCAGACTGCAAGTGCAGCTCAAGGCCCAGTCCTACTACTGATCAGCACAGGAGTTTTAATCTTCTCTGTTTATTGTCTGGACCAAGGCATTCCCTGCTCCTTGGGCAGCCTGATTGCCTCCACTCCCGGGGGCTCACCATATTGGTGCTGGACTTAGTATGGAGACCTGATCGCTTTAGCCCTTCTGCAGGTCAGAGCTCCCTAACTTCAGTGATCCAGCAACTTCAGCCTCCCCAGAAGCAGGGTCTATAAATGGGCCACGAGCCCCAGCTTTTCTGAGCACTTTTTCTGCTCTGGACTGCCTCCTTAAGCTTATCTTAAGCCTACTTATGGTTTCATCCTGGACAACCCCTAGGAGTTATATACATTAACTTCTCCTGAAAGAACTATTTCTTTTTATTTGTGCAAGGACATTTATAGTGTTCTCTTAGTCTCATATTGTGAGATCTGGGTAAAAGGTTCATTTACCTTACCCACATCCTTCATGATATTATAGACTTTGGTGAGAGTCCTCTCATTCTCTAGCTTTCCATATTGATGAGCCTTAATCTCTTTAAAGGAATGGAGGAAACATTTCATCCAAGGGATAACTTGCTGTATCAAATTACATCTAGGACACAAGTGTTAGCATAAATTCAATCTCAGTGATTTATCTTTGGGGAGTTCACTGGGAAAAGACAATGAATTGTGGTCAGTGATCAAACCAAGTAATCTTAACAATGTGACAATATATGTAAAGTCATGTCTTTCATTGGGGTTTCTAATATATTGTGATGCTAATAGAGCTGTAAATGTTAGAAACAAGGCCAAAATGTCTCTATGGCCTACAGCAGGGATTCATGACCTTTTGTGCACTATGGACTCCTTTTGGCAGTCTGATGAAACCTAGGCATTGCTTCTCAAAATAAAACTTTTAATTGCATAAAAATAAAATAAATGAATAATATAATATATTATGAATATTCATATAAATGTAAATAATAGAAAATAAATAAATTATAAAGGAAACAATTATATTGAAATATAGTTATAAAAAATTTAAAACAAGTTCATCCCCCCTGCTCTCCCCAGGAAGAACTAGAGTGAATTTGGCCTGTAGGCAATGAAGCAAAAATCAGCGAGTGAAATGATGTCTCATCTATGCCATGTATGCCTGATATCCAACAGGCTCTATTTTATATGATCATAGAATTAGAGCTGGAAGGACCTTTAGTGGTCATCTAGGCCAAGGCTTCTTGAAACTGTGGGTCTCGACCCCATGTCCTGACCCACAGTTGAAGAAGCACTGAAGGGTTCGTGAGTGGAAAAAGTACAAGAAGTCCTGATCTAGGCCTACCTCCTCATTATATGGAGGAGGCCAAGCAGAAGAGTCAGGATTCAAGCCCCAAACGAGGATTCTTTCCACTGAATCCATGTTGTCTCAAATAGAATCCACATCTCCTTCATTGAAAGACTTTAAGCACTGGATAAATCATACAGTTTATGTCAATGTAGAGATTTGATTGAGTCCAGCCCTTTTATCTTACAGTTGGGAAAACCAAAGCTCAGAGATGGAAGATCACACCAGCTAATCTGGGAGTGGTAAAGCAGAAAAGGGAGAAATTACAAATGGTCACAGACCTGTGAAGAAAAGCACTTTGTATGCACAGGTATGGAGCAGCCCTTCAACACAGAACTCCTTCTGTGCAAACCCTGTTCTGGTAGCCCAGACATGCACGTGTTGGAGTTGCTCCACAAGCATCAAGCAGTCCTTGACATACATCTACAAACAGCAGCTACGGCCACTGTAAAGACTCCCTTTACCACATTTCCTCTACCATTTTTGGAGTTGTGTAATAAATGTGGGCAGCAAAGTGGCACAGCGGATAGAGTGAGGGGTCTGGCACCAGGAAGACTGATCTTCCTGAGTTCAAATCCAGTCTCAGACACTTATGAGCTGGATGACCCTGGGCAAGTCACTTAACCCTGTTTACCTCAGTTTCCATATTTATAAAATGAGCTGGAGAAGGAAATGGCAAATTACTCCAGTATCTCTGCCAAGAAAACCCTAAATAGGGTTACAAAGCATCAGACACTACTGAAACCAGTAAATGTGGATGGCTCAAAGTCATAGTAGCTATTTATTATGAGGATCTGGTTCCTTAAAAATAAAACTGAGGGGACTGATCTGTAGCTTCGTTGGTAGAGGAAGCTCCCAGCTGCAAGTCAGTCTCAGTGAGTTACCTGGGACACCAAGAACTTAGGTGATTTAACCAGTCACATAACTAGCACTATGTCACAGGTCAAACTTGAACCCAGGTCTCCCTGACTCAAGGTACACTGTCCTACCTCTCTTTTAATTAAATTATTTTATGTTATAAATTACATAATTTTAGTATAAACATAGTAACCTTAAAATGACATGAAATGAGGAATAAGATCCTACGTTGTGATAGTTGCTATTTTTGTAGCATTTTATATATATTGTACCTCGTTGAGCCCCCATAACAGCCAAAGGAGGCAAGGATAGGTGTTATCCCCATTTTACTAATGAGGAAACTAAGACCCAGACAAACAAAACCCTATACAATAGCTGACATCTTTATAGTTTTGAATGGACAGTAGCCCATTCAAGCCTCACATCGACCCTATGGGGCAATAACTACAGGTGTTATCATCCCTACTTTACAGATGAAGAAACTGAGGATGGGACAAATAAGATTATAAGGAATCAAGCCAATAAATGTGGCTCCCATTTATGTAGCACTGAATAAACATTAGCTCATTTGAGCCTTGTGCTGACCCTGGGTAGTGGGTGTTATGGAGAGAGAAATGACTTTTCCAAAGTTGTACAGCTATTAAATATCACAGGCAGTGATATTTTAACTATTTTTAACATAGCACTTAAAGCCCTTTACAAACATTATCTTTTTTTTTCCTTCATAACAACCCTGGAAGGTGGGTGCTGTTATTATCCCCATTTTACAGATGAGTAAACTGAAGCAGACAGAGGTTAAGTGACTTTCCCAGGGTTCAGACAGCTAGGACATGTCTGAGGCTGGATTTGAACTTAGGTCTTCCTGACTTCAGGTCAAAACCCTAGTCCAAAGCCAGGTCTTTCCCTCCCCAAGTCCAGCACTCAAACTATTATGCCAGACTGCCTCTCAATCTTACAGACTTCAAAGCACTTGCAGTTTGTTAAAAGGAAAAATATACATGGAAGCTTTAAAAATATCCCACTTGTTTTTGCACTCTCTTCCAATATCTTTTTTTTTTTAAATATGCTTTGTCAGTTGCTGTTGCTGTTAGGGGTCTGAGTCTAAACATTGGAAGCACACTGCTGGAGCCTTCCTGAGGGTAGAAGAGAATCCCAACCCTATTGTGCTTTAGAAAATGAGCTTCTGGACATCTATCATGGATAAAGATGTCCCTTTAATCCCCCTCTTTTTTAAAGTTTTGTTGATACTCAATGACTACAGTCATTTCCCAGTATGCATATTCTATGCCCTGCACTGATACCTCTCTCCTAGCAAAGAAAAATGCTAAGTAAAAATGACCACAGTTGACAGTGTATTTAACATTCCATTCCCATAGTAAGCTACCTGCCTACTCAGAGGAAGGAAATGTGATGAAGGAAAAGTTTGAGAGACATAGTTTTGAAGTAATTAATCATTTTTATTGATTATTGTTAGTGGATAATTAATAAAAGGGTCATTTCACTGTCTCTCCTAAACGAAAGATCCCTCATGAAACCCACTCAATGCTTAAGTGTCCTTGGAAGAGTGGGTGTTCCTGAGGGTGGAAATCAACTCTGATTGGTTAACAAGGAATGAGAGAATGAATATTAAAATGAGAGGTGAGCTTACTCTAAAGAGGGGCTAAGGGAAGTAACTGATCCTTAGTCTTGGTCAAACAGACTGTTTAGGGTAATCAATACAAAAGGGGAAATCCACTTTCACCCAAACCTGTCTGACTAAAACACAATGGATCAGTATCTACCAATTCACCTAAATTAGAATTTCTTTACTTTTTTATCAGATCTGAGTTTTCCCATTTCATTTTATCATGAACCTTGCCCTTCAAAGGCCAACTAGATAACCTACAGAGGCTGATTTCTGAATGAGGAAATAAGAAGGGGAAAAACCTTAGTCCTAATTCAATAATTGGTTATCAATATAAACGAGAAATAATCATTTTTCTCAGAGGTATGTGTGATCTTCATTTCTCTGGTTGCAACCAAGAGTAGTCATTGAAATTCATCTGAATTTGCCTGCTTTTTAGTATTGTTTTCACCTATATTATTGTAGTCATCATATATTTTCTTCCTTCCTTCTTTTCTTCCTTCCTTTCTTTCTTCCTTCCTCCCTCCCTTTCTTTCTCTTTCTTTCTTTCTTTCTTTCTTTCTTCCTTCCTTCCTTCCTTCCTTTCTTCCTTCTTTCTTCCTTTCTTTCTTCCTTTCTTCCTTTCTTTCTTTCTTTCTTTCTTTCTTTCTTTCTTTCTTTCTTTCTTTCTTTCTTTCTTTCTTCCTTTCTTTCTTTCTTTTCTTCTTTCTTTTGTAAAGAACTTTGATCTCCTAGTAGAGAGCTCATTTCTTCTACCCAACCAGACCAACAACTTTTCTGTAACCTCTAGTCTGAGAGAATTGCCTGGGACCCTGAGAGGTCAAGTGAATTGCCTGGAATCACAGAGCCAGTAGATGCAGGAGACAAGATCTCTTTACTTTAAAAAAGTACAAAAGGTATATGGGATCTAGCCTGAGATCAGGGGTGTTTCTAAAGTCCACTCAATTGAGGCAACTGTCTTGGACTGCATCCTTTGGGAAGCTTGAGTTACAGCTGGTCAGTAACTCAAGGAGGAAGCCAGCTGGTGCTTAAAAAAGAGGAGAGGCTGATATGTATGCATATAATCAGTCCATAAAACCCAACAGCCTCGCTGGTGCTAAGCAAGGAAATGCCACTCTCCTCTTTCATACACCTCTCTTGGGCTGCCCTTCTGTGACTGCTTTTCCCTTCCAAAGCTGCCCTTAGTATTCACGTCTGATTTCATCCATATACAAATGTTCTGGCATTATTATTTGTATATATGGAGGTGTTGGGAATGGCAGGGAGGGCAGGGTTATTTTTTGCTTGTTTGAGTCTGTATTCCTAGGCATGGACTTATTTAAGGTAATTAGACAACCAGAAAGCTAACAAGTCCTACCCATCCTATATGGACAGAGGTCTCTGATTTTGTTTTTACCAGAACTTCTGATCCCTCAGGTAAACAGGGAGTCCCCACTGCTGACCCTGGCCCACTGAGAGGCCCTCTGGCTTCCTTGGCCTGTTGCCTGATTGAATTGAGCAAGGCCATGGGATGAGGACAGGGGAAGTACTAAGATGATGCAGGTGATGGGAAATGAGGGGAGAGCAGGGGTAAGAGGAAAGGAAAGGAAAGCAGAGAAGGCTGTAACAACCATTCAAGAACAAAAATATGCATCAGGGCTCAGTGCAGGAAATTTTGTACTTCATGGGCAAAAACAGTTATAGGGCATATGGTAATGACTAGAGAAGAGACCATTTCTCTTTTCCTACAAATATCATAAGTGAAGGAAAACCTGAAGCTAAAGGATTTAGAGCTAAAAGGGAGCTTAGTGTCTACCCCCCTTATTTTACAGATGAGGAAACTGAGGCTCAGGAGGGTTAAGTGACTTGGTCTGGGTCACACATATGGTAATGCTATTATCTAGTATTTATATGGCACTCTAAGATTTGCAAAGCTCTGTACAAATATTATCTCATTTGATCCTTACAACAACCTTAGGAATTAGGTTATTATTATTATTGTAATCATCATCATCATTATCATCCTTCAATATTATGCTCATTTTACATATGAGGAAACTGAGGCAGACTGTGTTAGGTGAGTCACCCAGGGTCACACAGCAACTGAGGTTGGATTTGAACTCAGGCTTTAAATCTTTTCTTAAACCTCTTTATTTAAATTTCTTTAATTACCTACTTATTTAACCTGTAATCTCCTTATTTTAAAAATTAGGACACTGAAGCCTAAAATGGTTAAGGAAATTGCTCAAGCTCACACAAGTGAGTGGAAGAGTAAATTCTGATCCTCTGATTCCCAGCCCAACTGTGCTCCTCAAATATCCCAGCATAGTTAATAATAATAGTGATAGGAGACTGGGCCTCTATGCCACCTCGATGCTTCCATTCCAGCTATCAGTTAAGGAAAGTGAGGTAAAATGACTTGCCCAGGGTCACACAGCTAGGAAGTCTGAAGTCATATTTGAACTCAGGTCTTCCTTTCTCCAGGCCTGGTGGTCTATTCACTGCACCACCAGATGTCTCTGCCATACTGTTTAATAAACACTTGAACTATCTAAGGTTTGTAAAACACTCTACATTCATTCTCTTTTTGAAGCTTTGTGAGGAAACTGAAGCTCAGCTACCACACTGTGTGTGCGCACGCGTGTGTGTGTGTGTGTGTGTGTTGTGTGTGTGTGTGTGTGTGTGTCCAGCTTTACAAAGAGAGGCCCTTTATGGTTTGTAGTAGCCTCCATCCTTTCATTGGGTGAGAAGGGAGAGGAATAGATGAGAACTCCCAAATACCTCTGTAGGTATGAACAGGCAGCCAGGAGGTTGTTACACAGTTGACTTGTGCTGGGATTTTGTGGCTG